ATGTTTTACATCGCGCAAGAACGTGCAAGATAAGGCACGGCTAAATTCAGCGGACCGTAAACCAAAACGACGAGCCCTCCGCGCGCGCGCGCGCGCGGGTCCTTTTCCTGCATAAACATAACGTCACGGCTTCTTGCGCCAGACCAGACGGCTCGGATCGGCGCGCCGTACGAACGCCGCATCAGGCACCGTGATGTTCCACGTTTGAAAACACGGCCGTGTTTTCTGCGAGGTAAGAAAACAAGTGCAGCCGTGTAACGCAGGAATGTGCAGTAAAGTGCGCTACTTAGCGCGAGGCTCGCCCGACGCGAGGCGTCGCAAAAGCGTAATTTGAAAATGTTATTTCTCCTTAGCGGACTTCCTTTGCGATTGGTGTGTGTGGCGAAAAGAGCCGCGGGAGAACATCAATTGTGGCGACATCGGGTCGGGAATGTTTTGTAAATATTCGGAAATCACTTCAGAACTGACGTCCGACGCCAGGTCCTGGGTATATCCTCTTCATAAGAAAAAAAATTTATTATTTTCGAGAAAGAAAAACATTTTTTTACGAATATGCTTCCTGAGAAAGGTAAAAAACACCGTATATAAATTTTTAAAATTAAGAAACGGTTTTCAAAGAACGTAATAATCTAGATTGTTTAATTAAAAGTATATAAAGAAGTTTGTATTTATTTATCTTAGCATTTCTTCCTTTTCTTCTTGCATTTTTTTTCAAGAGTTTATCTGAAAATGGATAAGAAAAGAAATGGGGAAGAAATTATCCGAAAACCATTAGATATTTTTTTTAGTGATTATCGGACTGTCCCATCGAAATTGGTCAGCATTCCAATAGCATTTCAATCGCGTCGAAAAATAGAAACATTTAAATCCTAATCGTCTTGTCTCAGGTAAAAGACAGAGATTTAAGACAAATGGAACTAATCTATAATTATTTGGTATAAACCTTTCAACATTTGTCCATTCCTTTCCATTGGCGTCATGCTAAAATATTTCTTGGTGAGAAATTATTGCGCGCACATAATCCTTCCTCGTGGATTAATGTACATACGTGAAATTCGCAAAGAGGCTAAAATCGAATCTTCTAAATTAAGTTCTAAATTAATTATTGATATAAGAATGTTTCTGATCTGTCAAATTTAATAAGATTTAATGCAATGCGAATTAATTTAGGAGAATATACAATAAAAATGTCAATGAAAATGATAATGAGGAGAATATATATAATAAAAACGTCAAAGCGTTTTATTATCTTACATTGTAATGTTTCACTGATCGCGACGTAGTACACAAGTTCGAGTGTTTAAGAACAAAGCTTACCACTTTATGATGGCGGGTGGATTTCCGTATCTCGAAACGCAGGCAATCATTGCTTCCTGCCCGTCCTTTAGCGTTAGGGTGGCGCCCAGCTCGGCCCCTCCGTATTCCAGTTGAGGTTTCCTGGGCTTTACTGGAACACGCATTAGGGTGCATTTTACATAAGATAGATTGAGATTGACGGACATTGCTATATACATCGAGTTTGGTTCTCCAATATCTCCAATATAATGGTTACATGGTAACATTTTTGTTTCCTTTTCGGCTAAACGAATATTTACGACCGTTATCGTATACTTTCGAAGAGGGAATAGCTAAGAGAAGTCGATTAGGCCACACTCTCGACCAAATTTCCATTAACACGGATATTGCAAAATTGTAAGGAAAGTAGAGCATAACGGCTGTATGTGTTTTCTTGCATCACTCGAGGTCAATGTTCGCGGAATATTAACGATCCTCACAAACGATTCAACGCGCTTTGATAGCATATTCGAGGCTGAACTGGACGTGCTATATAGTATAAATATGCAAGTGGTATAAAAAAATTTCTTAAAATGCGAGACTCCAAATGCTATCTCATAATAATATTATGTACATTGCTTTTGTATTCAGCTTTTGTATTACAGTTTGTATTACAGTTTGTATTACAGTTTTAAATATATTATGACGCGAATATTATATATTATATATGAAAAGAACGATTTTTAACTGAACTGAAATATCTGAAAATTTGAACAATTATAAATCTGAAAACAAATTTAGATCATCAAAATTATTATGTAGGATATGATAATATTGCACAATGATAATGGCACAAATTTTTGATATTCCATCAAGCAATTTAAATGTTTCTCAAAATTTGTTTTGATAGTCCAAATTATTTTAGATCCAATCAAATTTCCTATCTAATCGATATCTAATATATCTTAATTTTTAGATTATTTCAAACTAAATTGC